GGTCGGGTGGGGGCTGCTCGGGGGGTCGCGGGGCCACTGCGACCACCACCGGCTCCTTCTGCAGCAGGTCAGCGTCGAAGGCCACCCCGCGGAAGAAGGGGTGGCCCTGGAAGTGGTGGAGGTAGCGCAGGCGGTACAGGGGGTTGTGGCACAGCAGCTGTGGACACGGAGGTGACAGTGACAATGGGAATCCCAGCATCCAGCCCAGGGGCCGGGGGGGAGCCCAGAATCCAGGCAGGAGGGTTACCTCGGCGAGCAGCCGGGCCAGCTCAGGGCTGAACTCGGGTGGGCTCTTGTAGCTGCTCTGTTTGACACGTTCCAGCATGGCCACATGGTCCCCCGCTGGAGCCACAGGGAACTGGGGGAGCACAGAGTGAATTCAGGGTCTCCCCGAGGTGTCCCTGTCCCCCTACCCTGTGGTCCTTACCTCCCCACTGGCCAGGGCGAAGAGCAGGACTCCCAAGGACCACCAGTCAGCTGCATGGCTGTAGGGCCCCCCACTCAGCACCTCTGGGGCTGTGGGGAGAGTGGGTGAGTGCATGGGGGTCTGTGCCCCCCAGCACAGCCCCCCCAGCACGGCCCCATCCTTACCCATGTACTGTAGGGTGCCACAGATTGTGTGGGCTCGCTCACCCCACTGCAGGTACCGGGAGAGGCCAAAGTCAGTGAGCTTGAGGTGCCCTGTGGGGTCAGACACCATGTGGGACACATGTAGAGACCGTGTCCCCACTGACAGGGTGTCCCCATTGACAGGGTGTCCCCAAGGCGTTCCCACCAGGCTCTTACCTCTCTCATCCAGGAGGATATTCTCCATCTGAAATGAGACAGGCACTGAGGTGGCCTCTCCATGCTGGGGATTCAAAGACCCCCACCCCCCACCCCATCCTCCAGCCCCCAGCCCCACTGCCACCCACCTTGACATCTCTGTGCATGATGCCAAGGTCGTGGAGGTACACTGGGGACAAGACAGAGCCATCAGTGCCGTGTGTCCCCTCCCACCACAGTGCCCACTGCCACCCTTGGAGGTGGCTGACCCTGCCCACAGGTCTCCAGTGGTGGGGACTGTCCCCGGTGTGGAGGGAGGGTCACTCACCCAGCACCAGCACCAGCTCGGCGGCGAACAGGCGGACGGTGGCCTCAGCCAAGCAGCCGGCCGTGCGCCACAGGGCGTGCAGGTCCCCGGTGCTGCAGTAGGTGCACACTGCCGGGACAGGGGATATGCCTTACTGACCCACTGGGCTGGCACGAGGGACACCGGGGTGGCACGGGGGTGCACAGGGGTCACTGGGGCCACGCACAGGGGTTAGAAAGGCAGCAAGGTGGCACAAGCACCTGGACCACACTGGCACCAAGGTGGCACAAGCACCAGGGCAGTATGGGCACCACATTACCAAGGTGACATAGGCACGAGTAAGGTGGCATGGGAACATGCGAGTCACACGGTGACATCAGCCCCAGGGCCCCGTGGGCACTGGGAGCACACAAACACCAGGGATCACACGAGGTGCCAAAGTGACGTGACACGGGCACCGGGAACACGCAAACTGCAGGGCCTGAGGTGACACAGCCATTAGGGCCAGGCAGGCACCAGCGCTGGGGTGTTCACTCCCACCCTGGTCCCTGCCCCGCTGTGGCTTGTCCCCATCCCTGTCCCCCATCCGCATGGCCGGGAGGCGGCAGCCAGAGCTCCCGCGTCCCCACGGGGCGCTGGGGGGAGCGCGCGTGTGCGGGGACACGTGCGCGGGCAGCGGGGACACGTGCGCGGGCAGCAGGGTCACGTGCGCGGGCAGCGGGGACACGTGCG